CCCCTATCAAATAGCGGTCGAATTAACAAAAGTACTAAATGGCTGCTTTTAGACTTCAACGACGCCACCGACGAGCACGCGTCCAACTGACGGTGTTGCTGGCTATGTGTTGACAACACTGGACGCCGATGGATCACGCGCCGGTGTTGTCAACCAGTGACCAGCGTCGCTGTCAGTCGGACGCGCGCTCGTCGGTTGCGTGAAGTCTGAAAGCAGCTAATCTCAAATTTCGACTGGAAGTTGTTTGACTCCAATGGATCTTGTAGCAAATCATTTGGATCGGTTGTATACATCCGTTTCTGTATACATCCGTTTCATAGAACATGCTACCGAGCGCTTACGCACACCTTCTTTAGAATTCCATAGTATTACAACATAGAGAATAAGCCCATAGTATTACAACATAGAGAATAAGCGAGTACATAGTAGTCTACATGGCAAAAAGGTCCTTTGTTTACCTTATAGATGACAGAAGGCGCTGAACTGTCGCAAACAAACACAATACGATCACCTTATAGATGACAGAAGGCGCTGAACTGTCGCAAACAAACACAATACGATCAAGGAGCTGAAGCTCGATCAAAGCTGCATGATCCAGCATAGGATCTTGGAACCTGCAAAGAGAGAGACATTCGAAAGCAAACCGAGAATATCGTCGAATATTTTTAATCGAAATATTTTCACCTAGTCGAAGTACTAAATGGATTTCGATATGACACTCACGGTTCACCACTTGGCGACCATTCAACGACAGCCTTCTTGGTGATTGCATCAGCCCCAACTGCCATGATTATAATGAAAAAGATAACACGGAATGAATCCCATGGATTTGAACAATTTCTGGATGATGATCGTACTATGAACATCGCAAAGGAATGTCTGAAACACAGTAAAACATAAAAAGAAATTAAACTAAATCCAATGATCAATTCGATGTTACGGTAACTCACTAAATCGCGTGCGCGTACAGGTACGTTAGGTCGTAGTCCTTTTTGAATTTTATTTTTCTTCATTTGTTCCCTTTTATTAAAATGAAGTGAAGTTTGTGTAGTATTGCGCTTTAAGTAACATCATGTAACCAAAAAGCCCAAGAGGTAATAAAATCAGTGCACCCAATCCGCCAATAGCTCGAAAGAATGGATTTAGTCTGGGGGAGTTAGTCTGGGAAAGAAGCATTTCCGCAGTTATCTATGCTCTAGTCGTATCAATTGAATCATTTATGTAGTAGTACTCAGAAACTGAGGTGCTAAGTGGGTTGGGGGGACCACGCGGCGCGGCACCCTGCGCTCCCTCCAGCGAGATAGTAGAAAAGGAAGAGAAGTCGTGCCCGAAACGGTGTTTAGGGATGTTTTATAGTTTTTTATGTTGAACTGTGTATTTTTCACCTAATTTCAGGAAGGTGGGGGGG